CTGCCCAATCAGCATCTAAGTATCCAACGATCTGCTCATGGCCTCGATCCTCAAACAATAACCCTTTGCCTGAAGCTAATTTTATATACCGAAGAATGCAGACAACTGCATCCCAATGAATATCACATGAGAATCCATAAACTCACTCATAACACTCATGGAAAAATAAGTCAGGTCCAATTATTGTGAGGTAAATTAATTTACCAACCGGCCGCATATATCTTGCATGATCGCTAAACGGCCTCCCCTGTCCTTAGCTGGCGGAAATGTAGAATTCGGATCCATAGAAGTGTCAACATGTCTACATCTTGTCATTCATGTCTCCTCAAGAATGTCTAAGGCATACTTCCATTGTGAGATCACAATACCTGATCTAGACTGAGCGACATTAATACCTAGAAAATACTTTAGTCTACCCAGATCCCTAGTCTAAAAGTGTTGAAAGAGATGTTGCTTCAATTTAGTACAATCCTGACCATTGCTAGTAATAACAATATCAACATAAACCACCAGATAAATACAGAGATTTGAAGCAGAATACCAATAAAACACAAAGTGATCAGCTTTACTACGAGTCATGCCAAACTCCTAAATAAATGTGTTGAACTTACCAAATCAGGCTCGAGGAGACTGCTTTAGACCATAAAGTGACCAGCGCAAGCGACATACACGGCCACTAGACTCCCCCTGAGAAACAAAACCAGGTGGTTGCTCCATATAATCTTCATCCTCAAGGTCACTATGAAGAAAAGCATTCTTAATATCCAACTAATAGAGAGGCAAATGGCGAACATCAGCCATGGATAGAAAAAGGCAAACTGATGCTATTTTAGCCATAGGAGAGAAAGTATCACTATAATCGAGCCCAAATGTCTGAGTATACCCTTTGGCAACAAGATCGGCGTTAAGTTGATCAACCTAGCCAACCGAACCAACGTTGACTGCATAAAATAAACGATAACCAATAGTAGATTTACCTGAAGGAAGAGGAACAAGTTCCCACATACCACTCGTATGTAAAGCACATATCTCATTAATCATATCGTGTCATCATTCCGAATGAGACAATACTTCACCTGTAGCTTAGGAATGGAAACAGGGGACAAAGAAGATATAAAAGCATAATAGGGTGATGACAGACGATGATAACTTAAACCGACATATTGTCAATTAGGATTAAGTGTGCACCGTATACCTTCCTGAAGTACAATCCATGGACTAGGAAGAGACAAGTCTGTAGTAGGAGCAAGGTCAGGTGCAGAGCGTAAATCAACTAGGCCTGATGCTGGACGCAAGTGATGATAATAAATCAAGAGTGGTTTTCCTGCGGCTGGGGATGTAGGAGGAGCAACACTAGATTCCTTAATGGTTAGTATGGGTAAGACTTTTATGGCTGAGGATGTAGAATGGGCTATAGTAAACTCCTCAAGAGTTGGTATAGGTAAGACCTCAAATATATCAATGTGGTCGGAAGAGGTAAATTAAGGTCGAGTTTATTACAATAAAAACACTTAGGTCGAGACTTTCCAAAACGGCCTCCTCCTCGTCTATTCTCCACAGTCTGAGATGCCCGATTTTCCACTGGTTGGAATGCGAGAATAGAGGAGTCAGCTGTCTGTGATGAGATCATGGTGGGACTTGGCGTTGCAGCAAAAATCTGGTCGCATACTGAATCAAAGTTATTAGGAAGTCCAACAAGTGTAAGAACTAGAAACATCTTCTATCGTTGTTCTTGTTGTTTTTCAACACCAGCAGAAACTTGCATCAACTTCTCAAATTCCTCTATGACTGCGTGTACTTGTCCCAAGTAAGTAGACATATCCAATTCTTGTTTCTTCAAAGTTGACATATGTGATATCACATCATAGAAATGAGATATGTCACTAGTGTATGAAGTACGAGCCTTTTCCCAAACTAAATGACATGTCTGGAATGAACGAAACAAAGGCATCAACTTGAAATCAATGGATTACCACAGGATACTACATAATTAAGCATCAATCTTTTCACAAAGTGCTTTGGCCTTTTCATCTCCCTCACTAGCCTTTTTGGTTAAGTGATCTTGAACACCTTGACCTTTACATCACAACTCGACAGATGAAGGCTTACTAAATAATTTGAACACCCAAGTAGGGGTTCAGAAGTAATCATAAAGGCTGAATTTACAACTCCACTATTTTTGGAACCAAAAGTGTCCAAATTGAAAGACATTATTGGATTGAAGTGAGTTCTAATTGACCAAATCCGTGATCAACTTCAAGAAGTCATGAGAATAGCTTCAGAAGAACCTAACAAAACTAGGAAATTCCAAAAAGCACTGCTCAAACGAGACAAAATACTGTTCACACCGGAAAATTTGTTGCAGCTCACGAAAAAATCCAAAGTTGTTGGAATCTATAAGAAATAGTACTAGTGGACTCGGAATCACTGTCCAAGTAAGCTTTCCTAAAGAAGTTTTGTCGGAAACTGGCCGGAAGGTGGCTCATGCGCCCGGCACATGTAGCATATATCGCCGGAAAATTCCTTGTTTGTCCGGCGCGTGAGGGCGCACGGGGAGGAGATTTCCGGTGGGTTTGATGGGGATTAGTCGCAAGACTACAGCGGACCTTGTGGTGATGTTGGCTTGTGCACAATACTGATAAATAGTGACTTTGACGCAAACAGTCAACGGAAAAGTTGCACGGTGAATGTTTCTTCCCGGAATCAGTGGTAGATTGCACAGCGAGTATTTAGCACTATAGCTTTGATACCATGTGAGAAATAATACACCGGGAAAAAATATATTATTGATATGTTTAACTATAATACAAGGACCCCTATTTATAACAAATACATTAATCTTATTCCATGTGGAACTATACTTATTTACACACCTACTAATTATCAAACAGAAACATTGGATATTTTCCGGGTCTATCTTCTTTAAGAGTTGGGGATGGTAGAAAAATTAGATTCTGGCAAGATACTTGGTTTGGCCCTTCGCCTCTGATGGACACTTACCCTGGACTCTACAGATGCTCTTTATGTCCTAACTCTACCACTGCGCACATCTGGCAAAACTCAGGCTTGGTGCGTTATTTTCAGAAGAGATTTCAACGATTGAGAACTAGAGGACTACACACAATTGTCACTTCTCCTTAACGGTGTTCCTCTGATTTCTAAACCAGATTCCTGTTCCCAAAATCTCACCACAGAGGTATTTTTTCTGTAAGGAGCTACTATTCCAGCTTTATTATCCACTTCTCCCTCTTTAAACCTTGGTCATGGGAAACTATAGGGAAGAACAAGGCCCCCTACAAAGGGCGATCATATTCTTGGCATGTAGCGGTGAGAAAATGCCTCACTCTTAACAATCTACAAAAGCGAGGCATCTCTCTATGCAAAAGATGTTCACTGCGTAAAGTAGAGGACGAGGAAGTCAATCACCTCTTTATTCACTGCAAATTAACTAGTCAGATATGGTATTTCTTCTTTACTACTTTGGGCATGAAATGTTCTCCAAGATCTACAGTGGATTTCCTTTTTGTTTGGTGGAAAAGAGGTATGTCTAAATCATCCTATAAAATCTGGAACACCATTCCCTTATGTCATCTGGTGGGTTATCTGGAGGGAATGTAATGCTAGAGTTTTTGAAGATAAGATGGAGAATGTGGTTAGGCTCAAACATAAATGTATATTTTTGCATAATTTGGTGTAAAATGAGCTTGGCATACATTTTAGAGACAGAAGCCATGGTAGATTTTCTCTGTTCTCAACATTCTCTTATAGTTCCCACTTTTTTTGGTGTAATTCTTCAGCTTTGCTGGCTATCAATTGTACTTTCAAGTTACCTATTCAAAGAAAAAAAAATGAAGAGCAAGAAACATAAAAACACAAAGGAGGGGAGAAGGGGAAAAATGGCTTCTATAGTAAATCTGTTCCTCTACATGTTACCAGTCGCTTGTTAGAATACAAGAAGAAAAATGCATCAGTTTCTTATAAGCAGGCTAACAAATAGTGTTAAAAGACGAAACGCAAAGAACAGTCAATTAAGCCCCGAAAATAAGAGAAAAGAAGAAGATATGTTGAGAACTTGATGATTCGATGACTACAAAGTACACCTATTTATGAGTGTTAACCACAAGACAGATATGATATTAGCCCAATGTGGGATAACATCTAACAGAACTTAATATTTCCAATATTCTTACATGCCCACTAAAACATAAAATGGGAAAACCAACTTCAGTTTGTTTCTTATGAAAGATTGAAAGTAAATGCTAACCATGACAGATGCCGAAGAACCTGTTGGATAGTATCATTGAAACCTTGTTGGAAAAGCTTAAGTCACCTGAATCTTACTGGGAATGTCTTAGCAGCGAGAATCACATTAAAAAGCTTTGATCAAAAGAATTTCAACCAGAAGTTACTTAAATTAGCCGACATGGTAGTTTGATGTGGTGCTACCAGAATTATCACTGCGAGGAAGTGTGGTGCCATTGGAACGAAAAAGACAGTGGTGTCACTAGAAGAGTTACAAGAAAGAGGAAAAAAGACAAAAAAGCTTTAAGCGAGCATACTGTATAAGGCTGTAGCCAGCAAATGAAAACTACTTAAGTCTCTAACAAGATCGCAGATGATATGTGAGAAAATAAAAGAGAAGATATATTTTTTATTTGATTATTTAATGAATACAAAACAGCTACATAGGTGTTAAGACACAAAACACATGATATTGTCCATTGTGTAGAACATCTAATAAATACGAACTTAACAATTCTAATACTCTAATCTAATTCCAGCATTTTAAACCCTCAACATTCTTGACAAAGCCACTCTTCTCCACTCGTGGAAACCCATGATTTTCACTGGTACAACGTTTTAGTAAGCTACTACATTATTAACCTCATTAAAAATTTAAAATTAGTAAGCTGATCACATTTCATTTTTTAATAAATACTCCATAGAGCTTTAAGATATTGTATGTCAATGAGCAAAATAGACAGAGATAGAAAGCAAACCTCTTGCGCTTCAATAAATTCAGAACGTGTAAGATCAACTGCTACTTTGTTTTCAAGGAAGTGCATTCGGAGCATCAAATAGACACTAGAAATCCAAATGGCAGAGTGTTGCAAATCTACTTCTGGCTCAAGAAAATTGCAGAAAAAAGTTGTAAAGCAATGTAAGAAAATACCTATAGCATGACACACTGCAGAAATCACATGTACCAACAATTTAAATAATCACTGACCATATTATGAAATCCCTTTCTTCTCCACAAAATTGAAATTTTGCATAGTGAAGTGGACTATTTGTTAGATGCGTATTGATACACTAAGAAGGAATGAGAAATGGCAGAACGGGGAAGAATAGAGAAGTACGAGAGGAAGATTGAGAAAAATGAGAGAAAGAAGAGAGAGAAAAAGAGGGAAAAGAATGAAGAGGGAGGACAAAGAGATAGAGCAAGAAATCATAATCATAAAATCAATTTATATAATATTATACTCCCTCCGTTCCAGTTTATGTGAACCTATTTCCTTTTTGGTCCGTTCTAAAAAGAATGACCTCTTTCTAAATTTAGAAATAATTTAGCTTAAACTTACAATTCTACCCTTAATGAGAAGCTTTTATAACCACACAAATACTTTGGGCCTTTTTTGGCTTGTTTAGGACCACAAATTCCAAAAGTCTTCATTTTTTTCTTAAACTCCGTGTCCAGTCAAACAGGTTCACATAAATTGGAACGGAGGGAGTATAAGTCACCTCAACAAAGTACAGGAGGGTTTTATTTATAAGTTAGAGATTTTAAACAATTTAGAACTCTTGCAACTTAGCAGCGACTAGTCTAGTATACATGTCAAATGGGAGGAATTGGCATGGCCCAACCTGCAAAGGGACAACCCGAAGCCTGTTCAGCCCCCTTCTTAAGGGGCCTCGGTTGGTTAGTGTTCTATAGGGTTCCATGACCTCCCCTCTCCAAGAATCCGCATAAAACTAGTGCCAAACCCCCAGGTTAGAGAGCTCGGAGCGGCCCAGAACACAAAAAATAAACCTTCAAAATTGTCAGATTCCATGGATGTGCAACTATGACGAAGAACTTTCATCTCATCTATTACAGAGATTGGATTAATGCAAGAAGAATGTATCAAGTTATACTCTCAAATACTCTGACTCGCAGGAAGAGTTCTCCATGACTGAAGGTGAAGAAATGTTATGCATTAGTAATATAGTATGTCTCAACTTAAAAGAATCTTCTTTTTTTATATTATTGTTTTATAAAACACAATTAATTAATTTCATGTTCAATAACATTTGAGATTCTTGTTTTCTTTTTTCAGTGTACAACTTATTTTTACAGTATTTGATTACATAGAAATATAAAGGGCTAGTCCACATTATTCATTTACTTGTGTCATTGCTGGATATTTGAGTTCAATATAACACCTTTTTTGAGAAAAGGGTAACTTTTGAAAAGAATTACACCTGAAGCCTATTTTGTCCAAACCGAGGAACCAAGCCCAAAACTGACCAATCCGAACTTTTAAAAAACGAAAAAACCAAATTAATTTCGGTTTGGTTTTCAGTTCACCTAATCAAAAACCGAAAACTGAACAAACCAAATTGATCTTTTTGAGAACTGAATTGAACCGATCGACGCCTACCCGTACTGATATCAAATTGTAGGTTGTAGCACTATTAAGAGAAGAAGGGAGAAAAGGCAGGAGAATGAGAGAGGAATGAGAGAAAGAAGAGAAGAGAGAGAAGAGAACGAGAGAAGGAGAGAGAGATAAAGAGAGGGAAAGAAGGAAGAAGGGAGGAAGAAAAATGAGATAAAAAGAGAAGTTGTAATACCAAATGAGCAAATATTAATCAAGTCCCATCAAAATAAAGTACATGAAATTCCTATTTATAGGATATGGATTTTAGAATATTAAAACTCTTGAAAATACTAAAATCTATCTCTATCCAAAAAGATAGGGCTCAATAAGACCTTATTTTTAACTATCATTCTAGCTAGAAGATAGAATGATTATCCTTAATTGATAGACAGGATTTTATTTCTTACTAAAAGAGAAACAAAACCAAAGATAGAAAATAGTGATGATGATATCTAAATGATCTACATCGCTTAAGGAAGATAAAAATCAATCCATCTAAGATAGAAACAAGCGCACTTACCTCTCACTCCATCACTAATCCCAAGCTTTTCTAGCTCCTCTGCATGAATATAACAATTCAGAATTCAGACATGAGAATAGAATCTAAACCAGATGGAATAAAAATAAATTGCTAGAACGCATTCTCTAGCTAAGGGGCTGATTTGTGTGTTTTTGCAAAATTTTCAAGACAAATACGAAAACTTACAGGCTCTACCAACAAGAAGCTTACGATATTGGAATTTAACAGAAAGGTTAATAGTAATTTCCAGTTCCTATCTAAATACGACATCTAGCTAGGCCCAGGGCAAGGACAAAAAATTTACAGTAAACCCCATGAACAAACTGCTAAGACTAGAGAACCTATAGAACAAACTTAAAACAATAGTTGTTTCCGTTCATGGACAATAATGAGTTCACTTCACGCAGTCTTAACCAAAAATGTAATTGCTGGAGGATTGCTCATTTAGATCAGTTGATTCAACATTATTGATACCTTCTCTAGGATAGGTTTCTATCTTAAATTATAGAAGATCCTCAAATAACTTAGTTCCAATGTTTAACAAATTAAGATGGTCAATTAGAATCATGGGAAGTACAAACAATTTCAAGATTTAAGGAAGATTTAGAGAAAAAGAAAATTGGCCATAAATTGAGAGTTTGGAGCACTAAGTTGACAGTATAATTTAGTAGTACGGCAAGTTGTGACATATTGTACCAAACCCGTGATTTGCTAGACCAAAAGCATTCCGTCGTCGAAGTTTGGTTACATGGTAAAGAATAAAGGTTGAAAAAAAAAATCAGTTAATCCTCCAAATATGGAAACATGCATGACAGATCCATTACCCTGAAAGTTAAGGTTGCTACCCAAAGCTGCCAAGTGTGATGAAACCCATGTACCAAATTAGAAAACCAAGTACTAACTATCAGAAGGCTGACAAATGTAAAACAGTGTGAAAGATATAGAGCCTAATGCACCCAGCTTCACAGAACCAACCTTGAATAGTTTGCAGGCCAGACTGAATCCTCTTTACGCACTCCTTAAAAAGTCCTTTTGGACGGTTAAAAACAACTACCGTAAGGTCTACCAGCGCATAAATAGCACCTTTAGGTAGCCATTCTCCATCAATAGGAGGTGGCGCCAATTCAAGCTTGTCTTCCCACGTCCGTCTCACACTTCCAAAGTATATCGGTTCAGAAAATTCTTTGCCATTTCCTGTTAAGTTATTAAGTTGCTCCTCAAGGTGAGCTTGTCTTCCAGAGAGAGCAGATCTGTCTCTGTAATTCAAATCAGAACGAGAAAGACTTTCATTGACTGCATCAAGCTCCTTAGTCAGTTCCTTGATCTGTTGTGTCTTCTGTAGATCACACTTCATAGCAGCATTCAATTTGTCAACATTTTGAGCAGCATTCTTGTAGTCGCATATCCGGAGTAGATAAAATACATGCAACAGCTCATTGTAAAATAGCAAACCAAGGCATTGCTGTCTCTTTTAAATTCGAAAGAAGAAATAGAACATCAGTTGACTTCAAAAGCCCCATTTTCAAAATCAGCATTCATAAAAAGAATTGTATGAAATTGTCTCAGCATTGAATCCATTCAATATGTAGATTCAAAAATGTTCACAAGCGAAGCTATTGTAGTAAAGAAAGGAACAAATGTTCCTATTCTCTGCAAAAGGACTCCACAGTACATACACAGAGAAAGAAGTAAAGGCACTGGACTCACTTTTTCTGATTCAATAGATTTCCATATTGCATTGCATCTGTTGACAGCATCTTGAACGGAACTTTCATTCTCCCATTGCATGAGGTGCACATGCAAGATTGAAGTTGCAAAAAACATCTAGTACCACCAAGAAGCGAAATAGTGAACACTACAAATAACCAGATCATAAGGATATAGTTAATGACTCATATTGATGACCAAACAAAAGCTAGAAATCATTTGTATCAGAAATATAGGTGTCTGTCCTTGTGATTTAGAACACGAGTCATGGAACAATTACAAACAGACACACCTGGCACTAGGTTCATAATTACACCGGAAGGACTCCAAGTGGATACATGCTTGCTACCATCAGTTTGTCTCCCAACCAACACTTTTTGTTCTTTTTTAATTTCACAACCCATGTTTGGACACTAGAGCACCTCATTGGAACCAGAAAAGGCAACAAATATATAATTATAATAATAAATTTAAGATGAATTACTCAGGTGAAATGTTACAAACTTGAGTTATCTAAGTTTCAATAGAAAAACAGTAATCTGTTGAGAATGCTCCCAGGCACTTTCCCCGAGGCTCTTCTCTCTCTTCTTCTTGCTTGGACTCCATCACCCCCATTGAGAGTCAAGTTTCCCGCAACCAAACCCCAGTAGTTTCTCCGGCAGCCAAGCCCCCACGCGCCCTCAAGCGCGGCCAAAAGGCCTGCTTTTTCCGGCGAGATTCAGCCACGCGCCGGCGCGTGTGGCTCACTCCGGCATCTTTTCAAAATCTTTTCTTCACACAGCCTTCTCGACATGTTTTTCCGAGCCTACCCATCTTAGTTTCACCAAATTCCGACGACTTTTTCTATTTTCCGGCGATTATACCCCAGATTCCGACGACTGTTTTCCTTTGCTCAGCATCGGAAATATTTCTTCCCTTCCTATATGCTGTTTTCACCCACTGTGATTACTGATATACTTTCTTTTCAGGTTTTTCTAGCCAAACCTCTTTCTTCTTCTTCAAGCAGCCTCTAGGCCAGGGTTTTGGGACAGCCGCTTTTAGAATATGATGGATTCTACAAAGAGAAGCTCCTACTTCTTCCTAGAATCTAGAAAACTGGAAAAAATGTCTTTTATCAAAGCTGCCTCTTGGCCAACCCTAGATCTTGAGGGAAGATGTCATTGAAAGCTCGGCGTAGGGCAGGAGCACACTCTCAGGCGCAAGGGTTTCTTGAAATCTTGTCTGATTGGATCTTTCTCCAAATGGGTTGGTTCTCCAGAGGCTGTCAGGGATTGGTCAGCAGATGCATGGAACGTCAATGACGGGTTGAAAATAACGCAACTGGGGGATACGCAATATCTCTTTCGATTTCTCGACGAGTCTCGAGCTTCAGAAATTCTTGTTAGAGGAAACAGATGGTTTGATGGGAACTTTTTACACCTAGACAGATGGGTGGAGCACGATGGGTGTCTCGACCATCATTTCACCGGCGAAACATTGGTGGCCAACATGGTGGGTCTCCCGGTGCATCTTTGGTGTCTTGACCTTTTCAAGAAGATTGGGAAAATCTGTGGGGGCTTTATTGATGTCACTTGCAGCCTACATGATCTATCGCGAGTGAAGATTGTGGTGAGGAAAGGGGGCAGAATCCCTGTCTCCACTGTGGTGGAAGATGGCTACTTGAGTTATAGAGTGTGGTTGAACCCTGAATTTCGCCCTATCTTTATGTCTGTGATAGTGGCGGAAGAAAAGGGAAGGTCAAATAGAAGGGAAGGGAGGAGAAAACAGTCTTTGAGGGGATGGGAGGGCTCACCGGATCAGTGGTCTAAGCCGGAATAAGATGTTAGATCGAGAAGAGACGGGAGGTTTGAATTTGGGAGAAGGCAAAATTTCAACAGGAGGGAAAGACGTGAATGGATTAGTGATGCGGGCTGGAAAGGTAGAATGGGTCGGTCATCTTCTAATTATCCTAGGGCCAAGCAAGTTTTCAGCAAGTATAGGCCTGGGCCTCCTTACATGGGCCCAGCAACTTTTCCCAATTCTATTAGAATTGATCCTAAGGGGCCCAAATTATTTCAAGTTGCGTCTATTAAGGCTCCTAAGCATATGGGAACAGTCGTTCTTACTTCTTCTGTCAATGGTGCTACACACAGTGGCATTTCTGCACCGAGCTCTAGTGACCTTCGCCCTTCTACGATGGTCGCTGCTCCAGGGGCGGCACCGGCTATAGATGGTGCTGTTATTCCACGGCCTCCAGCCTCTGATGGACCCAGTCCCATCGCCCCCCATCTGCTCCTGGGCTTAGTTGTGTTGAGGCAACACTTCAAGCTTCTTCTTCTTCTGGGAAGATCGTTGAGCATGCCCCATCTGATGTTAGTGCCGGACCTGAATTTCCAGTTAAGATGCCGCTAAGGGCTCCATGCTCTCCTCTTTCCTGCTACCCTACTGGTATTCCTGGTCATTCCTGTAGCAGCGGGGTCCTAATTTCAGAGATTGGTACCCCTCAAGGAAATGGCGAGATTCTTTCGGCACCTAAAGTTCCTATTGCTAACAATGCTATGGTCTTGTATTCCTCCGGTAGGGGCAAGGAAAGGGTACATATAGAAGACGTCTGTCCAATCTCGTCACGGATTGGAGGAGGGGATATGTCTTTTTGGATGGAGGATAAACTATTAAACTTTGGGAAGTTTCTAGGTGTTTCTTTTGAAGGGAAGGAAGATAGAATGTTAGAACTGTTGAGGGAGATTAAGCAACAATCTTGTTATAATGGTGCAGGGAGGGAGTTGGGTCAAGGTGCAAAGCAAAATAATTTAGGGGGTGTAGTGGTGTACCGAAGAAGGGGCCGGGTGTGTGACAGGGAGGAAGGGAGCTCGGTTAGAGGGGGTAGGGAGAAGGGGGATATTGTTTTTTATGGAAGTTAAAATTCTTTCATGGAATGTGAGGGGGATGAATGACCCAAACAAAAGGGTCATCATCAAAGTGGGAGTTAGAAAGTGGATGCTAACCTAGTTTGCTTTCAGGAGACAAAAATGGAAGTTTTGTCGGATGTGATTGTGAGGAGTGTCTGGGGAGGTAGTTGGGTAAAATATGACTGGGTTCCAGCAGTGGGAAGTGCCGGGGGCATTCTTCTAATGTGGGATGATAGAAGCTTGGAGGTAAAGGAGATTAAGAAGGGAGTTTTTTCTTTAGCAGCTCTTGTCAAAGATAGAGTGAGTGGGATGGAGTGGGATTTGGGGGAGTGTACGGACCGGTAGGAGAAGGGTCAAAGGTGTTTTTCTGGGAGGAACTGGCCAATATGATGGGGTAATGGGACATTCCATGGGTCCTGGGGGGAGACTTTAACACTATTAGATTCCCGGAGGAGAGATTAGGGTGTAGTATGATTTCGAGGGCCATGGAGGAGTTTTCTGACTTCATCAATGATCACTTTCTCATTGATCTTCCTCTGTCAGGGGAAAGATTTACTTGGGCCAGAGCGAAGGATTCCAACTCAAGGTCTAGACTTGATAGATTTCTGATATCGCCCTCCTGGGATGAGCTGGTGCCGAATGTGTTGCAGATTCCTTTACCTAGGCTGACTTCGGATCATTTGCCTATCTTGCTAGATGGATGTAGAGGTAGGGGGTGTGCTCCCTTCCGATTCGAGAACATGTGGTTGAAGGTGCCAGGATTTGGTGACAAGGTGAAAGAACGGTGGACAAGCTACGGGGTATCAGGGACACCTTTATTCCGTCTTTCGAAGAAACTTAAATTGCTCAAGGGAGATATTATTAGGTGGAATAAGGAGGTTTTTGCGAGGGTAGAGGTTAAAATGAGGGAGCTTATGCATGAATTGGGGAATCTAGAGAGAGGGGAAGGGGCGAGGGAGTTAGATGAATCTGAGAAAGAGAGATTGGGGGAGGTTAAGAGGGAAATAGTCGAGTTAGCAATAGCTCAGGAGACTAGTTGGCGGAAAAATATCGAGGGCGTTATGGTTAAAGGAAGGGGATTCGAATACCAAATTTTTCCACAGGGTGGGGTTGCAAATCGAAGGAGAAGCTTCATAGAGTCCTTAGTCGTGGATGGGGTGAGGATTGAGGGAGAGGAGGAGGTAAAAGGGGCGATAGTGGGGTTTTATGAGAACTTATACAAAGAGGAAGTTAGTTAAAGACCAACTTTGGGGGGAATACAGTTCAACCACATAGGGGAGGGAGACAGTGAATGGCTAAAAAGGGCTTTCGAGGAGGAGGAGGTGCACGAGGCTGTGTCGAGTTGTGTTGGTGATAAGGCCCCCGGCCCTAATGGTTTCTCCTTGGCCTTCTTCCAGCTCTGTTGGGACACCAAAAAGGGGGAGTTGATGGAAGCCATTGAATACTTCCATGTGAATGGTGTTTTCGAGAGAAGTATCAATGCTTCTTTTATTACTATTGTGCCTAAGAACGAAGGTGCATCTTGTATTAGTGACTACAGGCCTATTAGTCTCGTGGGGAGCATTTACAAGATCATTTCTAAAGTGCTTTCCAATAGACTCAAGAAGGTTCTTGACGTGTCTGTTTCGTCCTCCCAAAATGCGTTTGTGGAAGGTAGGCAGATTCTGGATGCTGCTTTGGTGGCAAATGAACTTGTAGACTCCAGCAGGAAAAATAGAGATCCCGGCTTACTATGCAAGATGGAGCTTGAGAAGTCTTTCGACCATGTCAACTGGGAGTTCCTGGATTTCATTATGATGTGGATGGGTTTGGGGCAAGATGGAGGGGATGGATCAAGTTCTACATTTCCTCAGTCAGATTCTTTGTCCTGGTTAATGGTAGCCCGTGTGGTTTCTTTGGCAGCTC